CCCCCCCCCCACACACACACACACACAGGACCAGATTCTGACAGCCAATTGGTAAATGTCCCCTGGTTAAGAATCAGTGAGTTAGAGAATCATAGAGATGTGCTGATCAATGAAGTGACATCATGTCTAGGATTTGCTTTTAAATACTCTAGTCAAAAAAAAGTGGTGGTGGATAGGTGAAACTTGGTTAGCATCATTTTTATTTTTGTTGAAGCTGGATGGTGACTACATAGGGATTCATGATACCATTCTCTCTACTTCTGTGTATGCTTGATTTTTAAAAATTAATCTGGCCCGGCCGGAGTTGCTCAGTGTTTGAGCATCGACCCATGATCTAAGAGGTCACCGGTTCGATTCTCCATCAGGGCACATGCCCAGGTTGCAGGCCCAATCCTCAGTAGGGGCATGCTGGAGGCAGCGATTAATGTTTCTCTCATTGATGTTCTCTCTCTCTATCCCTCTCTCTTCCTCTCTCTAAAATCAATAAAAACATGTTTTTTAAAAAATCAACCTGTTACTAAAACCTAAGGCAGGATTGCCAATAGGCCTTCCTTGTAGTACTTACTCTCAAAGTTGCTTCACTGTCCTCTTGGAAAACTCCTTTCAGGCATATTTCCCAATGCCTGGAGTAACACTCCAGGATTCCTGCCTGGCATCATAGGAGCTGGCTCAGTCTACTTCCCTGCTTTACCAACCCATGCTGCTGAAGCCCCAAAGTAGAAAATATTAGCTGTAAGCAGAGCTGACGTTAAAGATAAATGTAGTGGATGCCTAGAAGTTCCCCCAACCCCCACCAATACTATCACTAGCAAAGAGAAAGACCTTCTCCTACTGCCTTATCCCCACTCTAGAAGAGGTTCACCTGGTGGATGGATGAGTCAACTTCAGGACCTTGAATCTCCCTTCTAACTAGAGGGTTGTATAGAACTGCAAAAATTCTACCTCTCTCATCTCACTTTTTTTATCTTTTAGCTTAAATCCCTGTTAATGGCGGTTGCCACAGGGGAAGGGAGTTAGAGGACTGGGTGAAAGATGGGAGAAGCGTTTCGGGAATGGGTGAAAAAGGTGAGGGGATTAAAATGGGCAAATTGGTTGTTACAGAATAGTCACGGGAATGTAAAGTACAGCACAGGGAATATAGTCAATAATATTGTAATAACTATGTATGGTGCTAGATGTGCACTAGATTTATTGGGGTGATCACCTAGTAAGTTATATAATGTCTAATGTCCAATCACTGGTTATATACCTGAAGCTAATATAATATGTCAACTGTAATTTAAAAATAAAAAGCTATTTTTAAAAATGAAGTGCAGATAAATTACAAATTTAAAAGAGGGGGGGAAAATCCCTGTTAAACCACAATGAGGTAAAAGGGGTAGACATGGGGCTTCATCTTCCAGAACGTAGAGAAATAGGAGGGCAGAGAGATGGGTAGGAAGACGGAGAGAACTGAAGGACTCCAGCTCCTTAGGTATGCAGGAGGGAACAGAATATACAGGGAGAGAAGCTACCAAAAGTGAAACTGGAAAGCTGGAAATTTTCTCAGCTATTTCAACTTATGACTGAAAAGTCCATCCCATGCCATAGAGAGAGCCATTGAACTGAGTTAATGGAAGACAATTGGTAGGTGGGGATATAACATAAGTGTAAAATACAGTCTCTGCTGGTATGAGGCTCATAATTTAGTGGGAGGGAGAAAACTTACCTACCTGAGTGGAACAACCAGAGCACAATTAATTGTGAAGCTGAATGCCATTAGCTCCACATGGGGTGCAGCTGTTGCATAGGAGCTGCTGTTAGCAGGATGAGAAAGCAAGGTGGCTGAGGTTGAAGGCGAAGTCTTCACAGAGGAGAAGAAATTTCAACTGAACCTCAAAGGTGCATAGGATTTAGATCAGCTAAGACTTTTCTCATGAGAGATAAAGCAAGAGCAGAAGTACTCAATAAATATTTATTGAGTGCCAGCAATGTGACACATGCAGTGTTGAGGTTGATACTGTGCAAAGGTGCATAAGCCAGAACCCTTACTTTCCAAAGGCTACTGCCTAGTATAAAACCAGGAATATGCACAGACTCTTTGTCAAAGGTGTGGAGACCAGAATGCCTGGAGATGACAGTGTGTATTCCAGAGAAACCTAACAGATAGGATATGTATGTAAATCTAGATGTAAATACCTGGGTCTGTATCTATGAAGAGAGGAGGGAAGGAAGAAGTGAAAGAAAGAAGGGAGGGAGGGAAAGTGAGAGGGAGGCAGATAACTGATAGACAGCGATTTTAAGGAATTTTCTCATGTGATTGTGGAGACCTGCAAGTCTGAAATCGGCAGGGAAAGCCGGCAGACTGGAGACCCGGGAAGAGTTGATGTTGCAGTCCTGAGTCCGAAGGCAGAGTTCTGGAGTCAGAACTCCATCTTCCTCAGAGACTTCAGTCTTTGCTCTTAAGGCCTTCAACTGATTGACTAAAACCCACCCACATTATGGCAGGAATCTGCTTTATTCAGTCTATTAATTTAAAAGTTAATTTTATCTAAAAAATACTTTCACCGCTATATCTAGACTGGTGTTAGGCCAAATATCTGGGTATTGTGGTCTAGCCAAATTGACACATAAAATTAACCATCAGAGGATGGGATGTATATGAGATCAACGGTCAGATGCTATGAAAGCCAGACGAGGATGATTCTTGAGCAGTCAACCAACAGGGTGCTGTGGGACGATCAGGCTAGGGCTGTATCTAGTAGATTGGAGACATACGACTACCCTGTCACCTTTACCCCACAGCAACCCAAGGCAATACCTTTACATCACTCCTCAGTTGCTATGTGGTTGGCACTTGTATCCCAAGAAACCAGTCCTGCACTCTGGTCCACGTCGGTGTGCATGCCCTAATTTGAGAAGCACGAAGCCCAGGCTTTTCTGTTCCTTGCTGCCACAGCCCTATACGCAGACAGTACAAGGCACACCCAAGCTATTCTGCATCTCAAACAGCCTGAATGATTAGGAAGGAAATTGAGTTTTCAGTTTTGAAGTCCTTTAAAGCAATACCTATTCTCTGTTTTAGGTCGAAATAAGTAAGGACATCGACACTGAAATGCGGCTGCCGAACTTGACTTAGGAAGCAAAGCACCATTGACAGCTCCTCTCTGCATCAACATGTCTCACTTTCTTCCAGAGAATGGACTGCACCTCCCTCGTTTCCCACAGACCGCGGAGTTCTTTGGTCACAGCCCATGTATTATTAGCATTGTGCGCTAGATGAGTTGTAGGTGCTTGGGTGGGTATTTTTTAGTCATTTTCTTCTTATATGAATACTTGTAAATTGTAAAAAAAAAAAATGGTTTTTAATTTTTTAATAGAATTTAACATGAGGCATGCAAAATGGGGGGAGGGGATGCTATGAAAACCACAGACAATTCTATAAGAAACATTGGTTTTTATTGTTGAGGTGTTAAGTCAGGACTGCTGACAACTGCACTTATCCTAGACCTGATGGATCTGGCTTTAGCAGACATTACTTGGGATTACTAGACAGGAAGTTAGATGCTGTGACAGCTGACAAATGGGTACAAATAGTGGATCCAGCTTTCACACTGAGTATGGATCATTTTTTTCAACACCACAGGCCAAAACATGGAGCTCTCCTTTGTTCTCAGCTTCCCAAAACCCAGAATAATATTATGGCAATCTAGAATTTCAGATTCTTGCATATCTTGTTCTTCTTGTGTTCTGAAAGATATATATCATTAGGGTATGGAAGAGAGAAATGACAGTAAAACACTCTCCCCTTTTGAGGGAATATGGGTATCTCTAAGGGCCGTATTTTCTACTCTTTTCCAAGTCCCCACACTGGTGTCAGACCTAAACCTACAGAGTGTAGGCATGTGGGACAGAAATCCCAACCATAACTCTGTAATCAGGAATACTGCTCTGAAGGTATTCAAAAGGAGCATTAAAATGGTGTGGAATTATCTATAAGTACTTCTAAAGAAGATACTTATATTTGTCTCACGTCAGTCTTTCTTTCTCCTACACCATCCCAATAACCAAGAAATTAGTATCAGAAACACAATTTTTCATGGGGGAGGAAAAAAAAGATGTCTTGAAAACACACCATAGTTTTTTCTATTCATCTCTTTCAATTGCCAGTTCCCATGTCAAAATAAGTTTTGCTCACTTTGTATGAAAACCAAGATGAGGCCTCCTATAGGTCTCAAAATGGGGTATATATGCACAATTTAATCCAGCAATTGTTAACTTGGCCCATACATCTCTAAGAAGTCAGTCTATAAATCATCTAAAATTGTGCACAAATTTTTGTGTGTATAAAGGTTCGTTTTTTCTTCTTCTTAGTGGAGTCCACATATTTTATGGGACTCCATTAAGAATCAGAACTTACACGACAAAGTCCGCCTTGGTTCCTCTCACTTCATGACAACCACGGTGGGCTTCATGGAAGCCTCTGAATTGTGCCCCTTCCCTCAGCTGACTCCCACTGAATCCCATCACTTTTCATTCTACTGAATAAACTCAAATTCAAAATGAAGAGGAGCTAGCAGGGATCTGAGAGATGGTCAAATCCAAGTCATTGTGCAGTTAAGGAAGCTGAAGCCTAGGGAACTATGGGGACTTGTCCAGAGCTCTGAATGTGTACAGAGGAGCAAGAGCTATGGCCAAAGGAAGGAGAACTTGGAAGGTACAAGGTGGGGTTTGGGTCCCAGGTCCACCACTGTGGCCTTGGACAGTGTTAGACATCTCAGCCCCGCAGTTTTTCTCATCTATAAAGTGAAACTATAATGCCTGCCTCCCAAGGGTGAGGTGAGGGTTCGATGCAAATGTAAAAATACTCTGTAAACTGTGAAGCACTCCACAACTGAGGAAGGTAGTCATTATTATAACGTCATAGCAATAAGTCGGTCCCTGTCTGGAGCTCTTGTTACTCACCCAAGTGCTGTGCAAAGCCCATGGAAACACCAGACTCTTCTACCTTTTCTAAAAAGTAGTCTGAAAAAATCACCCATGTTTAAGTGATTAGAAATAATGCAGGCCACAAATTACATTTCTTAATTAAAAAATAACTTTGAAATTCAAATTCCAAGACTAATATATATTATTATGGAGAAAGCTAATAGAACATTAAAAACATAGGCAATCAGAAGAATAAAATTAATATTTAAATATCTTAAACTGTCATTTTATTATTGCCCCATAGGCACAAACAAAACCTAGACAACATTGCACAAAACAGTATCATGTCGCTTTTGTTGCTGTTTTCTCTCCATGTCAGCTTGTACATTCTTCTGCAACGCACAGAGACGTAGACTTTGTCTAACTGCAAATAACTGATTTGAGAAGGAATCCTCACATTAGCTATTCTTCAACGCAGGCAGCTACTTAACATGGTAACGTGTGTTTGGGTTTTTTAATCTTTCTTCATTTAAATAATTAAGTTATAACCGTTTCAATCCCCAGTTTCAGGATTCCATAATGATAATTTGGAAGTTCCAGAAAATTTACCGCTCATCAGAAACAAGTTAGGTAGACCCCCACTTCCTCGCTTGCCCACTTTTCTCCTACTCACCTCTCCTCTTCTGAGCTACTCTTTGGAGGTCCTGCCTACTTAAGACAAAGGGAAGAAAAGAGTGTAGAACTAACTGTGCAGTCACACTAGGTGGTCCCCAGGATCTGGGTGATTCTGATGCAGTAGTCACCTGTCCTGTGCTGCTCCTTAAGAGAGAGCGTTTCCAGTTCTTGCAGCTTCTGCCTGTTTTAGGGAATCCACTCTGCACTGTGCATTGCGCACTAGGGCTTTCAACAAAGACGTGTTCGCTATATCCATGTTCTCACCAAATCTTGGCTTCTCCGTATTGGAAGTGTGTGTGCGCAGTCAGAGGGACGGAGAATGGACAGATCTCTTAGCCTGTGCTCGTTAGCCAGGCTCCGGGTTTAAGTGCTCTCCTCACAAGTGACCCTGGTAAAGCTGAGACAGGTCATCCACTGCCCATGAGCCCCTAGGGCTCACTGGAGTGTAGAAGGGGAAAGTTAAAACCAATGTTATTTTCCTCTTTGAACCGCCTTGGGAGTGTGTCTTGTAGCCCCAAGCTGTGTCTTCTATCTTGTGTCAATGACCTATCCTTCCTTAAATGACTCCTGCTGACACTGTGTGGAGCCAAAGTTAAGCAGGCGAGTTATGGGGGGTGAGAGGCGTCTAGAGAATTCTCAGGGGACATGGGCTGTGTTACAGTCTATAGCAGAGAAATTTCAAACATCTCTTTTAGGAAAAGCTCTAAGCTAGCATGTCCCCAAGTATCTTAGCCTTCCACCTGCCACGTCGTATGAGCGTATGTGTCCCTGAAACAAAAGCATATGTTCATACCACTCCAAATCTGAGACGCTGTTGGCGCACTTGTTTTGAAGATAACTTGACATGTTGCCCTAGCAAAATATTGACTTCTTTCTTTTTTTTTTCTTCAGAAAAATAAGCCCTGCTATTTTCTAAAGGGGAGGGGAGCAGGGCAGCCAGCTTCAAGAGGCTGGATCTAGCAAAATATAGCAAGGCTGCCATCTGTCTCACTTAATGAACGGGACAGTCATGATTGAGAGGAATTTGTCTTCATTAGAACCAGCTAAAATGTACGTTGCAGAGCTGAGGAAAACCGTCATGGCTCTGCTAAATTGGGAATCAAATAAAAACCAAAATTGCTCTTTTCAATCTTTGCAAATTAGAAAGGAATCTTGCCAAGAATAAACACATCTTCATTTCAGACCAAAATATGGACTCACTATGAAATGAATATTCTGGCTGATTATTTCTTAAGGCAAACGCTCACTTATCATTTCTGAGATACTTCAGTGTGTAACTAGGAGAACTCTGACAGTTGATTAGAATTCAGTTGTTCTAATTCGACATTTTAGCCCAAGGTAGTAGCTGTTCTCATTGAATTTAAGTAGGAAAAGTACAAATAATTGATCTTTTTAAACTTAGAAACCTGAGTATCTGTGTGTGTTTTTTAATTTCCTTTCCATTGAAGAGTCATCTGTAACCTTTGCTGGATAGAAGGCCTGTAAAAGTGTCTACAAGCTCTGTTCAGATAGTCATGATGAATAAGCCCACAGCTTAAGGGTGTTGTGCCCAAGAGCAGAACTAATGAAGGAAATTACTGCTCATGTAACTGCACAATGTGCAATGCAGAAAGGGAGTTGATCTATTTTAAATATTAGAAGAATGTATTTATTAGAAAGAACTGAAAAATTTTACAATTTTTGCATCTTTCTTAATGTCCTAAAAAGGCTGAATTTCTTTATAGTGGGCTAGGAAATGCCATTTCTAGTAGATAGGTAAAGCTTCTTAAATGTTGATATTTGTAGAAGAAATTGGTGTCAGGTAAAAAATGAATCATCCTCCTTGGACTTGCAAACATATAAAGGGCAAAAATCATGTTAAATGCTACGTGTTTTTTAAAATGAAATAGTCAAAGAATCCAAAATATGCTGTGGCTTGAACTTGAGAGATAAATGGAGTTTAAAATTTTTAAAGAAATAGTATAGTAAGGAAAGAGTAGAGGGAGGAAAGGAGAGAGAAAAGAGAAAGAGAGGGAGGAGGAAGGAAAAATCCAAAACTGAAAGCCTACCTAACTTGGACATGGACATGTCAATTCTTAACTCAGAGGTGGTGTTCTTATTTCTTTCACTAAAAACATTGAGCCATTTTTCTTTCTTCTCCTGAGTTAAGTTTATAAAAACAGCTTAAAGAAAACAATGATCTATCTAGTTATGCTCATGTAATTTGCCTATATTAATTAGGATTAAGTTTACCTACAACTGGCCAAATTAAAAAAGAAAAATGGTAGTGGCTTAACTAAGATAGAGGTCTGTATCTCTATATTTCAAAATTCTGGAGATAGTCCTCAAAGGACTGGATTTGGGCTCCCTAGAGACGGAGACCCAGGCTCCTCCTCTCTTGTTGCTTCATTGTGTGTCCTGACATTCTCAAAATCATAACATGAGTCCAGATGGCTGCTGAAGTTCCAGCCATTGCTTTTTCATTCCACACAAAAAGGAGTAAAAAGGGACAGAAGGATCCTTCTTTCATTTAAGGCCATGTTTCAGAAGGTGCACACACTACTTCCACTTACATCCCATTAGCCCAGACTTGGTCCATTCCAAACTTAGCTGCAAGAAAACTGAGAATTATAGTCTTCATTCTTGGTGGTCTTGTGCCCATCTAAAAATCAGCAGCTTCGTTTCTTTGTAAGAATGGGAAATGTAGATTGAAGAATGCTTAGCCATCTCTGCTATACAGTTCAAACTAGTTGGCATGATTTTTTGGAATGTTTTCATCTAATTTAATGATAACACATTTTTAGAAAAAATACATATATTCTTCAGTACTGTCAGGAATCATAATCTCTGTGAAATGAGATTTCCTACCTCATCTTTCTACCTTTCCTCTTAGAAAGGAAGAAAAAAACCCATGGTGCAAGATCCTTCTGTGTTTCCACAATTCTGCAGAGTATATTTTAGCTTTCCTTTTCTGAAAATTGAATTTTAAATTCAAGAGTCAGTCGAATGGATTGCTTGGTTCTCACTGATCTTCTACGAAAATAGATTAGTTCTTCTACAGTCATAACTCTTTAACTTTTTTACTTTGGTAGCACCTTTTTCCTGAAACGATAATTAGTGTCATTAATTTATTTTTATTCAGTTCAATAAATATGGAATGGACACCGATGCTTGGGGAGGTGGGGTAGGACAGATCAGTGAAAAGTATGTGATCCTTCCTTTCTGTTATTTTCTCTCAGAAAAAGTTCAACCTGTGTTTCCCTTCATCTGTTTTTCTTCAAGAACATATCTGTTTGAGTGGAATGGGTATTTTAAACTACTGATAGTCTGTTTCTCTCAAAATAATTCAATTGAGGGAAATCATAGAATTGTTTTGCAATCAGGTTTTATTATACATTCTCCCTAGGTTCTGTGTA